ATCCCACCTCATAATTGGATGCAATGCTAAAATTGGGATTCTACTGGATTCCACTTAGGGCTGGTTTGCACAGGTGCAAAGAGGTAACACATGGTAAAATGCGAGGATTACCACAGTACATGCAAATGTTGGTATGTTGCAGTGCCATTCATTTTCATTTTTCTTTAGAATGGTACACCAATGACCACCATAATGTTCCTGCAATTCATCGCAATAGTGTGCATTGTGGTGTACTGCAAAATAATGCAGCACTAAATTTGTATTCATTGAAATGTGCTACACCCAAATAATTTCAAAAAGGCTGTCTAAAACAACATGCCTCAGTACATTAATATGTATATGGTGCAGTGCGTTATTGTGTGAATTAACCCCAAGTGCCCATGCTCTCTTAGGATTTGGGGGAGGGGGGGGGGGTACACTGGTCAAATTAAATATTTGCCTTATTCTTCTCATTACTCTGCTCTAATATATTTACTATTGTTTGTTTCAAAAGTAGTACTGTAAAAAGAGCAAATACCTTGTCTTCTGTATAGTTCCCCACAGAAACAACTAGTGCAAGCTCTATGGACAAAGCAGCCCAGCATAAATATAGGGACAGTCTGGCCCATCCAGAGTATTAGGTTTTCCAATGAGCAGTAATTATGCACCAAAACAAGCAATTTTTAAAACTGGACTGATGGCTCCCGGCAGAAAAATCCAGTTTATATAGGAGCATTTTCATAGGTCATGTTTATGTGGCCTAAACACTCCATCTCCTCCGCTCTGCTGATAATATCCCTTCCAAGAGAAATTAATTTGAGCCAATATCAGTATAATGTGTGACTGTACTTGAAGAACCTAAAATACCAGAATACACATTGAGGTCAGGTAGGAGTACATTGTTGAACCAAATTATCATTCATCAATCATCGCCAATGTTTGGTGAAACTGTCCTGAATCTGAAATTGGTGAATCTTAAGCTGGTCATACATGGAGTGAATTTTGGACGGGTCCCGTTGAACAGAAATTTACTCTGTGGGTGGCCCTATCAGAACCCATCCACCTGACATCGCTTGATTGAAAAATTGTCTGTGAAAATTTTTTGGCTGAACAGTGACTGTACCTATTCAGGTGATCCACCTGAATGCCTTTGGGTAGATACAGTGGACAGAAAAAATCTGAGCACAGGAGATGCCTTCACAATCTGACAGATTTGGGGTGTTTTTTGCAAGGAAGAGTGGGCAAATATTGCCAAGCCAAGATGTGCCGTGCTGATAGACTCATACACAGAATGAGTGCTGTAATAAAATCAAAAGGTGCTTCAACAAAGTATTAGTTTAAGGGTGTGCACACTTATGCAACCATATTAGTTTAGGGTTTTTTTATTTTTACTTCCACCTAAAATATTTCAGTTTGTTTTCAATTGAGTTGTACAGTTTATAGGTTACTTTGAAGGTGGAAAAAGTTCTGAAATTATTTATCTTTGTCTCGTTTTTTTGCATCACAGAAACCTGACATTTTAACAGGGTTGTGAAGACTTTTTATATCCACTGTATATAAGGGCTCCCACAGAAAGTTTTTCACTGCACAAAAACTGTGAAAGCGCTGTAGGTGTTATTATATGGGGTATTGTTCCTTGGTAAGCCAGCCAGAACCAATGGTACTTATTAATGCTGTAGGAGTAAAGAAACATGTATGGTAACTCCAACTTGGGATTTCTGTGACAAGGAATGTAAGCTCACCTGACTGGTTTTGCTGTTCCTTCTTGGCTTCATTAGGAGGGTTTAAAATGTTATTAACCACCAATAGTTTGGCACCGTGTGTGTGTGTGTGTGTGTGTGTGGGGGGGGGGGGGGGGGGGGGGGGGGGGGGGGGGGGGGTTAAGGTGCTGAAAACTACCAGTGGTGAGGGTTGGAGTGTTTTCAAATGCCATTGAGATTGTTTGTAGGTTAGGGGAGGCTAAAGTGCCACTGACCACCAATAATTGTAAAATTGTTTATGTTTTGTTTCTATTTTTTTTTTCTGGGGGGGGGGGGTGTTAAAGTGTTTTGGGTTTATCCGTGACTCTGTGGAGTTTATTGATTTAAAATATAAGATAATTTCCATAAGAAGAGGAAATCCCAGCACCAGAAAATGCACATTATACAGTATGTACAGTATGTATGCAGGTGCTTAATAAGGTATTACTCTTTTGCTTGTGTTAATTATTTCTTTGGGTCAGTGTATTTTCCACTGTGTTAGTTACACTACAGTTGCAAGAAAAAGTATGTGAACCCCTTGGATTACATGGAGTTTTGCATGAATTGGGCATAAAATGTGCTCTGAACGTCATCCAAGTCACAACAATAGAAGAACACAGTCTGCTGAACATAATACTACACAAACATTAGATGTTGCCATGGTTTAATTGCACATGACATGTAAACATTCACAGTGCAGGGAGGAAAATGTATGTGAACCTTTGGACTTAATAACTGGTTGACTCTAATTTGGCAGCAATAACCTCAACCAAACATTTCCTGTAGTTGCAGATCAGACCTGCACAATGATCTGGAGTAATTTTGGAGCACTCCTCTTCACAAAACTGTTTCAGTGTAGCAATATTCTTGGGATGTCTGGTGTGAATCGCTCTCTTAAGGTCATGCCACAGCATTTCAATTGGGTTGAGGTCAGGACTCTGACTGGGCCACTCAAGAAGGCGTATTCTGTGCTGTTGCAGCCATTGTTTTGTTGAATTACTTGTATGCTTTGGGTCATTGTCCTGTTGCATCACCCATCCTCTGCGGAGCTTCAGTTGGCGGACAGATGGTCGTACGTTTTCCTGCAAAATGTCTTGATAAACTCTGGAATTCATTTTCCCATCAATGACAACAATCCGTCCAGGCCCTGAGGCAGCAAAGCAGCCCCAAACCATGATGCTCCCTCCGCCATGTTTTACAGTGGGGATGAGGTTTTGATGTTGGTGTGCTGTGCCTTTTTTTCTCCACACATAGTGTTGTGTGTTCTTCCCAAACAACTCAATCTTGGTTTCATCTGTCCACAGTATATTTTGCCAGTAGTGCTGTGGAACATCCAGGTGCTCTTTTGCAAACTTCAAATGTGCTGCAATATTCTTTTTGGACAGCAATGGCTTCCTCCGTGGGTGTCCTCCCATGTACTCCATTCTTGTTTAATGTTTTCCTTATTGTAGATGTGTCAACAAAAATGTTAGCATGTGCCAGAGATTTCTGTAGGTCTTTAGCTGACACTCTGGGATTCTTCTTTACCTCATGCAGCATTCTGCACTGTGCTCTTGCAGTCATTTTTACAGGACAACCACGCCTAGGGAGAGTAGCAACAGTGCTAAACTTTCTCCATTTGCAGACAGTCTGTCTTACCGTGGACACATGAACATCAAGGCTTTTGGAGATACTTTTGTAACACTTTCCAGCTTCATGTAAGTCAACAATTCTTGATCGTAGGTCTTCTGAGAGCTCTTTTCTGCGAGGCATGGTTCACTTCACATCAGACAGTGCTTCTTGAAACCAGTAAACCCAAAACAGGTGTGTGTTTTTTAAGGGCAGGACAGCTGTCAGCAACAAATCCAATATCATCACACTGATTGGAGTCAATGTAGGCTTACTCCTGGCTCCAATTAGCTCTGGGAGAAGTCGTTAAGCTAGGGCCTCACATACTTTTTCCTCCCTGCACTGTGAATGTTTACATGTTATGTGCAGTTAAACCATGGCAACATCTAATGTTTGTGTAGTATTATGTTCAGCAGACTGTGTTCTTCTATTGCTGTGACTTAGATGATGTTCAGAGCACATTTTATGCCCAATTCATGCAAAACTCCATGTAATCCCAAGGGGTTCACATACTTTTTCTTGCAACTTTATATGGTTAATGCTGCTCAGCAGAAATTGTGCTGCCGGAGAGGTAAGGGGTAAACTTGCTGTTCAGGCTTTCCTGGGCTTTTCTGAGAAGCACCGCCCTCTGCTAGACAAAGCGTATGAAAAATGAAACTGTATCTTGGTAAAAGGTCCTGTTTGCTTTCACAAGCAAAAAGGAGAGTGCTGCTGAGGATTTAATCTCCGCCTTGATACCCCTTGTAGGAACCCAGCTGGGGTTCCAGTAAAAATGGACGTATGCTGCTAAATGGACTTATGCTGCTAAATGGACTTATGGACTGATGGAATTTTCCAAAGAAGTATGACTATTTCATGGGACAGAAGGCAGCACCAAAGGCATTACTAGAGCATTAAAGAGCAGAAACTAATGGGGCACCTAGAAGAGCATGTACAGGAATGTGTAAGGAAGATGTTGCTGAGAACTGTTCATTGGTAAAGAACTCTTATGGTTAACCTAATCTGCCTGGTCTGAAGACACGGGAGAGGTGCATGCATGGTATATCAAAGAACAGGGCTTAGGAGGGGGATGAAGAGAAGACAGTGCAAACACATTACAAGGGTCTAACCTGCAGTGGAAGAAGAGGCCATATTGCCTGAGTTATTGGTAACCGGAGTAATGTCGGTGCTTAAGCAGGCAGCCAATGGCAGTCTTGGTGACGTGGCATGGGTGACAGAGGGCTCTGACAGAGAGGGGGTTTGCAAGCTTCTCTAGAGATCAGTTCCCTATATGCAGGGACCCATTCACAGCACGGAGAGACCCTATGTACATAGCCACAGAAAAGGAGATGTTTGGAAACGTGAAGAGATGAACGCTACGTGTCCTGGAGAAGTCTCACTGGATGTGAGGTGACATGTTCAGCTACGCTGGTGGAGTGGGTACAGGCTCCGCAGTACCCATACAAAATTGCTGCATCCATTGGGAGAAGCTACAGAACAGCCAACTGAGGTGTGCACAAGGAAGAAGTGACACATACACATCAAGTTAACTGTGCAAGTAACTAGAGATGAGCGAAGTATTCAAAAATTCGATTCGACGGATTCGGTGAATTCGTGGAAAAATTTCGATTCGAGTCGAATATATTCGCTGTGAATTTAACTTAAAAAAGGGTGTTTCTAGGCTTCAGAGAGACTTAATATTAGTGCTGAACACTGTACCTTTAATTTAAATGCCCTTGGAGTCTGCTGGGGAAGAGAAATAATACTGTCAGGCAGTATGACATGCAGATGAGTGCCGTCGATCTTAGAATCACCGCACACTTCACTCATTTGGGCAGTCACGGGGCCAAAACCAGAGTGTGGAGCCACAGTGTGGCGGTGGAGGCAGCAGCAATGGGAGGCCATACAGCACCCTATGACAAAAATGGAAACCACCAGCAGTGTGAGGAGACCTGAAAGTGGCACATGGCAGAGTGTGGCGATAGAGACAGCAGCAATGGGAGGCCGTACAGGGACCCATGACACACTCTGGACCTGGCAGCAGCATGAGGAGGCGGTACAGGGGCCCATGGCAGATTACGGGCCTGGCAGCAGCATGAGGAGTTGGTACGGGGGGGGCCCATGGCAGATTACGGGCCTGGCAGCAGCAATGGGAGGCCGTACTGGGACCCATGACACACTCTGGACCTGGCAGCAGCATGGGGAGGCGGTACAGGGGCCCATGACAGATTACGGGCCTGGCAGCAGCATGAGGAGTCGGTACGGGGGCCCATGACACACTCTGGACCTGGCAGCAGCATGAGGAGGCGGTACAGGGGCACATGACAGATTACGAGCCTGGCAGCAGCAACTTGGACAGGAGGACGTTCAGCTTCTGCACCGTCTGGTGCGTGCTCGCAAACTGTTGTCTCTTGGAAACGGATTCCAAGAAAGACTGCTGACGGAATCCGTGAAGAGGAGTAGCAGGAGAAGGAGCATCTGAACGAGCGGAATATGCCAACAAGCGACAACAGGGGCCCATGACAGATTACGGGCCTGGCAGCAGCAGCATGAGGAGGCGGTACGGGGGGGCCCATGGCAGATTAGGGGCCTGGCAGCAGCTATGGGAGGCCCGTAATCTGCCAGCACCCTATGACAAAAAATGGAATACACCAGCAGTGTGAGGAGACCTGAAAGTGGCACATGGCAGAGTGTGGCGATGGAGACAGCAGCAATGGGAGGCCGTACAGGGACCCATGAGAGACTCTGGACTTGGCAGCAGCATGAGGAGGCGGTATAGGGGCCCATGGCAGATTAGGGGCCTGGCAGCAGCTATGGAGGCCCGTAAATCTGCCAGCACCCTATGACAAAAAAAAAATAAACACCAGCAGTGTGAGGAGACCTGAAAGTGGCACATGTTTGGGGCATGATTTGATGGCGGATTTAGTCAGTTGTGTCAGGAACTGGTGGTTTGAAATCCAGACTAATCCACGCCTGATTCATTTTCACAAAACGTCAGTCTCTCCACACTTTGGGTGGACAGTCGTGTCCTCCGCGGAGTTACAATACCTCCTGCCGCACTAAACACGCGCTCCGATGCCACGCTACTGGCCGGGCATGACAGCCTTTCAAGGGCAAATTCAGCTAGTTGGGGCCAAAGGTCAAGTTTCGTTGCCCAGTAGTCAAGGGGATTGTCTACCTCGGTTGGCAGGGTGCTGTCCAAGTAGGCCTAAGCCTGTTGTTTGAGGTCCTGCTCCAGGTCCACCTGATGCTGCTGCTGCTGCTGCTGCTGCGCTGGGCTGGTTAGTAGTTTCCTCACTGCGCTGGTGAAGAAAGCTACTCATCATCGACTGCAGACTGAGGCAGCCGCTGCTGGTGGAGCTGCCACTGCTCCTACCACCCCACCCCTCCCCTGCTGCCATGGCAGCGGAACGCGAGCGCACAGGGCCCACAGTGTCTGAGGATGGACGTTGGCGCAGACAGGCAGAGACCAGCTGACTACATAGGTGGTTTTTTTAGTACGTTATTTTGGCCTCCCTCTCAGCAGGTGTGAAAAAGGCCACCATTTTTTTGAACGGTAGCGAGGGTCCAACAAGGTGGACAGCCAAAAGTCATCCCTCTGTCTGATGGTTATTATTCGGCTGTCGCTACGCAAGCAACCGAGCATGCTATGGGCCATTTGTGCCAAGGAATGCGAGGGGACTCCCTGCCTCCATCTCCACAGCATACTGCCACGGTGCGTCTGGGTCCTCTGTCTCCTCCTCCTCCTCCTCTCTACCAGATGCTCCTGCTCCTCCACTCCTGTCCGCTGAGTGGAAAAACCACCCATTTCACTCAATAATTCCTGAGCACCATGTCCTCCTCTACCTCCTCCTCTTCTTCCTGTCCTGCCCCCACAGGGGTCATGTGGCGTTGAGATCTGTGCGCCACGTCTACCGCACCCTGACCAGCCATTGTTAACAGCATTTGTTCCAGGACGTGCAACAGAGGAATGACGTCGTTCATCCCATAGTCCTGCCGACTCACGAATAGCGTGGCCTCCTCAAAGGGCCTGAGCAAGCGCAGGTGTCACGCATGAGCTGCCAATGGCTGACATCTAAGTTACACAGGGAGTACCTTTATCCGCTTTTAACATCAGGAAATCTGTGATGGCCTTTCGCTGTTCGTAAAGGCGGTCTAACATATGTAGGGTTGAATTCCACCTTGTTGCAACGTCACAGCATGAGGAGTCGGTACGGGGGCCCATGGCAGATTACGTGCCTGGCAGCAGCAATGGGAGGCCCGTAATCTGCCAGCACCCTATGTCAAAAAATTCAACACACCAGCAGTGTGAGGAGAGGACCTGAAAGTGGCACATGGCAGAGTGTGGCTATGGAGACAGCAGCAATGGGAGGCCGTACAGGGACCCATGACACACTCTGGACTTGGCAGCAGCATGAGGAGGCGGTATAGGGGCCCATGGCAGATTAGGGGCCTGGCAGCAGCTATGGGAGGCCCGTAATCTGCCAGCACCCTATGTCAAAAAATTCAACACACCAGCAGTGTGAGGAGACCTGAAAGTGGCACATGGCATGGGCAGAGTGTGGCTATGGAGACAGCAGCAATGGGAGGCCGTACAGGGACCCATGAGAACACACTCTGGACCTGGCAGCAGCATGAGGAGGCGGTATATAGGGGCCCATGGCAGATTAGGGGCCTGGCAGCAGCTATGGGAGGCCCGTAATCTGCCAGCACCCTATGTCAAAAAATTCAACACACCAGCAGTGTGAGGAGACCTGAAAGTGGCACATGGCAAGTGTGGCGATGGAGACAGCAGCAATGGGAGGCACAGGGACCCATGAGAGACTGTGGACCTGGCAGCAGCATGAGGAGGCGGTATATAGGGGCCCATGGCAGATTAGGGGCCTGGCAGCAGCTATGGGAGGCCCGTAATCTGCCAGCACCCTATGTCAAAAAATTGAACACACCAGCAGTGTGTGGAGGACCTGAAAGTGGCACATGGCAGAGTGTGGCGATGGAGACAGCAGCAATGGGAGGCCGTACAGGGACCCATGAGAGACTCTGGACCTGGCAGCAGCATGAGGAGGCGGTATATAGGGGCCCATGGCAGATTAGGGGCCTGGCAGCAGCAGCTATGGGAGGCCCGTAATCTGCCAGCACCCTATGTCAAAAAAATTCTACACACCAGCAGTGTGTGAGGAGACCTGAAAGTGGCACATGGCAGAGTGTGGCGATGGAGACAGCAGCAATGGGAGGCCGTACAGGGACCCATGAGAGACTCTGGACCTGGCAGCAGCATGAGGAGGCGGTATATAGGGGCCCATGGCAGATTAGGGGCCTGGCAGCAGCTATGGGAGGCCCGTAATCTGCCAGCACCCTATGTCAAAAAAATTCTACACACCCAGCAGTGTGTGAGGAGACCTGAAAGTGGCACATGGCAGAGTGTGTGGCGATGGAGACAGCAGCAATGGGAGGCCGTACAGGGACCCATGAGAGACTCTGGACCTGGCAGCAGCATGAGGAGGCGGTATATAGGGGCCTATGGCAGATTAGGGGCCTGGCAGCAGCTATAGGGAGGCCCGTAATCTGCCAGCACCCTATGTCAAAAAATTCTACACACCAGCAGTGTGTGAGGAGACCTGAAAGTGGCACATGGCAGAGTGTGGCGATGGAGACAGCAGCAATGGGAGGCCGTACAGGGACCCATGAGAGACTCTGGACCTGGCAGCAGCATGAGGAGGCGGTATATAGGGGCCTATGGCAGATTAGGGGCCTGGCAGCAGCTATAGGAGGCCCGGTAATCTGCCAGCACCCTATGTCAAAAAATTCAACACACCAGCAGTGTGTGAGGAGACCTGAAAGTGGCACATGGCAGAGTGTGGCGATGGAGGAGCAGCAGCAATGGGAGGCGGTACAGGGACCCATGAGGACTCTGGACCTGGCAGCAGCATGAGGAGGGCGGTATATAGGGGCCTATGGCAGATTAGGGGCCTGGCAGCAGCTATGGAGGCCCGTAATCTGCCAGCACCCTATGTCAAAAAATTCTAACACACCAGCAGTGTGTGAGGAGACCTGAAAGTGGCACATGGCAGAGTGTGGCGATGGAGACAGCAGCAATGGGAGGCCGTACAGGGACCCATGAGAGACTCTGGACCTGGCAGCAGCATGAGGAGGCGGTATATATAGGGGCCTATGGCAGATTAGGGGCCTGGCAGCAGCTATGGGAGGCCCGTAATCTGCCAGCACCCTATGTCCCTAAAAAAAATTCACACACCAGCAGTGTGTGAGGAGACCTGAAAGTGGCACATGGCAGAGTGTGGCGATGGAGACAGCAGCAATGGGAGGCCGTACAGGGACCCATGAGAGACTCTGGACCTGGCAGCAGCATGAGGAGGCGGTATATAGGGGCCTATGGCAGATTAGGGGCCTGGCAGCAGCTATGGGAGGCCCGTAATCTGCCAGCACCCTATGTCAAAAAATTCTACACACACAGCAGTGTGTGAGGAGACCTGAAAGTGGCACATGGCAGAGTGTGGCGATGGAGACAGCAGCAATGGGAGGCCGTACAGGGACCCATGAGAGACTCTGGACCTGGCAGCAGCATGAGGAGGCGGTATATAGGGGCCTATGGCAGATTAGGGGCCTGGCAGCAGCTATGGGAGGCCCGTAATCTGCCAGCACCCTATGTCAAAAAATTCTACACACCAGCAGTGTGTGAGGAGACCTGAAAGTGCACATGGCAGAGTGTGGCGATGGAGACAGCAGCAATGGGAGGCCGTACAGGGACCCATGAGAGACTCTGGACCTGGCAGCAGCATGAGGAGGCGGTATATAGGGGCCCATGGCAGATTAGGGGCCTGGCAGCAGCTATGGGAGGCCCGTAATCTGCCCAGCACCTATGTCAAAAAATTCTACACACCAGCAGTGTGTGAGGAGACCTGAAAGTGGCACATGGCAGAGTGTGGCGATGGAGACAGCAGCAATGGGAGGCCGTACAGGGACCCATGAGAGACTCTGGACTTGGCAGCAGCATGAGGAGGCGGGTATATATAGGGGCCCATGGCAGATTAGGGGCCTGGCAGCAGCTATGGGAGGCCCGTAATCTGCCAGCACCCTATGTCAAAAAATTCTACACACCAGCAGTGTGTGAGGAGACCTGAAAGTGGCACATGGCAGAGTGTGGCGATGGAGACAGCAGCAATGGGAGGCCGTACAGGGACCCATGAGAGACTCTGGACCTGGCA